ATTTTTACTATAAAATTTCTTTTCTAGTATTGTTGAATTTTTTATTAGGTGGTTGTTGAATGTGTTGAATTCTTTACGAGTTTATAATTTTTTATATTGAGTAATGGCAAATTGTTTCATTTTTGTTCATGTGTTTTCACATATTATTATTGGTTGACCAAAAACAAAAACATATTATTATTATCCATAAAATTGGAATATGTTATCAAATCAAAAACAGATTTGTCTTGATCTCAAAGATATGCCTCTTTCTCAATTGATCTCAAATATTTTTTTACCTTACATTCATATATATTTTCTCCAAATTCAAATTCTTTCTTTTTTTTAATAATGTATAATAATTTATATAAAGGAAAACGTAAAACTAATCTTTGACGACAAACCAAAAGAAGAGCACCGTCGAAAAAATTCCAGTGTATGTTAAAATCTCTTCTTATTATTGGTTTTTGGTTTTGTCGATGGAGAAGAGACAAACCAAAAAAGTTTTGTTGCTGATTAGTTGTTAAATCGTATGATTATTTTGTTTTCCTCTTCTTATGATTTACTTTTTTGTTTTGATTTTGTTCTAAAGGTATACATGGATCAAACACTTCATGGAGATCAAGAAATCCATGAAAAAGAAGAAAGAATACATGATGATGAGTTAGATGCCGATATTTTTATATTGGTACTTTTAGTTTTCTCTCGGATGTTGTATTTGAGGAGACGACTATTACATGGAGTTCAATCCCAAATTGAACGTCCCCTCCGACGTGCCATCACAAGAGATGGTGAAAATTATATTGAAAATGTGTTAAAAGAAAAACCCTTTGCATTTTCGACAGTTGTATCGTATGTATCCAAATATTTTTCTGAAGTTATGTTGTCTCATACGGGAGACGACAAATCTAAGAGATACAAGATATATAACCGTTGAAGAAATGGATACCACTTTTCTTGTAGTAGTTGGCCAGAATTCGAGGTATTGTTATACAAGAGACACTTTTAAAAAGTCAATGTTTGCAATAAGCGAGAATTTTCACAAAGTTTTGCGGGCTCTTAACCAAATTACACCAAATTTTATGGTTAAGCCCGAGCTTACTGTGCCCGCAAAAATTAGTGAAAGTACAAGGTTTTATCCATATTTTAAGGTATATCTCTCTCATTTTTATATCTTTAATTTATATCTTTTGTAGAATATAATTTGATTTTTTTTTTCATTTATGTAGGATTGTGTTGGAGCTACCGATGGTACACATATCCTTGCAATGGTGCCAATTAAAAAAGCGGTACCCTTTCGCAACAGAAAAAGGTGATATATCTCAGAATGTATTGGCTGCTTGTAATTTTGATCTCGAATTCATGTACGTGCTTAGTGGATGGGAAGGCTTAGCACATGACTCAAAAGTATTAAGTGATGCTTTAACAAAAAACACTAATCGACTGCCAGTTCCAGAAGGTACTTATCTTCTTATTGTAAATATATTCTTCCAAAAAGAAAAATAACTATATTATTATTGTATTTCAGAAAAATTTGATCTAGTATGTAGATTGTGGATTTGTAAATCGTCGAAACTTTTTAGCTCTTTATCGTAGTGTCCGCTATCATTTACAAGAGTATTCTGGACAAAATTCACAACCAACAAATGAAAAAGAGTTGTTTAACTATCGTCGTGCATCTTGAGAAACGTAGTTGAGAGGATTTTTGGTATTTTCAAATCTTGGTTTCTAATTTTTAAGTCTGCCCCTCCTTTTCCTTATAAGATGCAGACAGAGATTGTCCTCGCATGTGCTAGTTTACATAATTTTCTTCGAAAGTTTTGTCGATCAGATAATTTTCCTGAAGAAAACAAGTGCAGAAGAAATTCTTGAAAAAATTAATAATAATAATTATGGTGAACTTCCTGGAACCCAAACCCAAGATCAACAGAGAGAATTTGCCAATCAATGGAGAGCAACAATAGCAACGAATCTGTGGACAGATTCGATCTCTTCGTAATGGGATTCATATACAACAAAATGAGAGCTCCTTGCTTATTGTTTTTTTTTATCATGTATTTTTGTTAGGATTTATAAATCTACTTTATTTGATTCTGAAATCTTGTTTATTAATTCTTAAATCCACATTGTTTGATTTTGAAATCTCATTTATTGATTCTTAAATCCACATTATTTGATTTTGAAATCAATGAATTCTATATGGATTTCTAATTCTACATAGATTTCCAAATATATTAAAATGCCAAAACCAATAAACCCCCTTTAAGTTTCCCCATATTCTCATTGTCTTCTTGTGAACAATCTACAAATTCCTCTTACATGATTTCTATTTCACAGTCATATTTACCGTTGTTAAGACATGAAACTCCTTATTAAGACAAACATGACTCACAAAATACATGTCATCACATTTTAAATACAATCCCTTCTTTCTATTTTCATCAAATTTAACATGTGTTAACTTTCATTGATTTTTTTGGATAGTAAATATAACTATTTGAATGTTTTAATATATGTTATTTCGTACTTGGTTGTCTAGTATTAGTTCATATAGCTTTCATCTTTCAATTATTCAGAGAATTTAGCATAAGGGATTTTATGAATGGTGTAACAGTTGTGGTCTTGGCCCCCTCTACTCTTATTGTATATCTTTAAAAAGAGTTTGAAGAATTACATTTGATTCCATATTCACTGCAATGGATACCATCTCAGGTAGATCATCTACTTCTTGCATTTCTAGTTTAATCCATTTATGAATATAATTATCTAGTTGTACATTTAAGCTACTGAGTTGTTGTCCAAAAAATGCCACTAACTTGGGAAGATATGTACTCAAATTGATGCACAAACTCAATTATTGGTATAAGTGATGTGTTGCGAGTTTTAGATGCATACAAACTTTAAATTTATAATCCTAGAAAAATGTAAGTGCACAGTATTAGCAATTCTAGTACTTAGAGATCGAACCACTGAGAACTAAGTGATGGTGCGCTACAAATCTAAACGATGCGAATTAAGGTAGATGAATATATTATTTGGTTTTAGGATTTATGAAAGCAAATAACAAAGCAATAAATAAAGATATATAGTCAATCAAGATAAAAGATCAAGCAATTCTCTCAAGACATATGCAAGACACAAGCAAACGATTTAGAGTTTTTAATATTAGTTGTTCTAGTCATCATATCACTAATCTAAAATTATACCACTATCACTATCGTGGATCAAATTAACTTCTATGTCTTCTTTCCTAATAGACTCAACTATCGTATGGTCATTATAAGGTGAAGACACGCGTGATGTGTAAGATTCGATTGTTCACTAAAATTCTTAACTAATATATCAAATTGTTAAGACGCCTATCTCATCAAATACTAGGTCCGGAGATATAACAAGCTTTTGGAGAGTATATCAACATAATATCAGTCACTGGGTAGCTAAGCCAGTTCATGCCTTAAAGATGAAGAATCAGTTCTAGAATAAAACCTTAAACGATCAATTATGTGATAACATAGAATTTAGAAAGTGCATAGAAATCAAATCAAGGCTAATACTCTACATGTTTTGCAACAGGTAGCAGCGAGAGTAAAGCACATGAACATAGCATAAATTGTTAATCTATCAAGCGTAAGGGATTAGATCTCATCTCTTTGCTATAGTGTAAAGTCGAACTACCCTTCAAAGCTTTTAGAATCAAATATGCATTAAGAACAAGAGAAAAACGGAATACATGTTTAGATATTGATTTAGGCTGTTTTGGCTGGCTGCTCTCACTTCCTAGAGAGGCTAAAAACAAGTATATATAGGGTTTTGAAGATTCTAAGTCGGCTAGATTTGTCTTCGGGCAAAAGAGTCTTTTGATCGAACTTGCGGCAACATCGATCACAATATCGGTCATGTTGCTTGACCAATATTTGAGGCTTTCATGACCCTTCTATAAGGTCGGCAAGAGTCTGCATCATCGGCCCATGGAGCGGCCCGGTGCTTGGCTCGTTTATGCGCTTGCTTTACTTCTAAGACTGTTTGACATGTCTTCAGTTTTTCCAGTGTATCTTCTAAAGTACAACTCCAATTAATGTAATTCCAACTCCATTGGCAAGCTAACTCATTGGTCTATCTTTCCACCAAGTTCATTAGATTCGAGGTTGACTGGTCCTCCTTTCATCAATGAACCTCTAGCGTATATGTTTTGTCCAACTTGAGAATATACTTTGTCTTCAAGATATAATGACTTAGCCTAGCTTCTTTGACTTGAATAAGTAGCTGTATCATAGATAACACTCCTTTTGCTCCTTTTTGTATTCTTTTGATGATTAAACCTATTAAGACCTTAAAATCCATATATACGAGAAAACTACATCTTTTGGTTGAAAAGCTTTATTAAAACATATAAAAACATAGTAAAATAGATAGTAAAAGTGGTAAAATATATGATATATCA